TTCCTGCTGCACTACTGAGAAGACAGCAGTGAGGACTAAAGGACTCAATGGGGTCAGAGCTCCATCTAGTGGACAAACAGCACAACCACAGCATTCTGTGACACTAAACAGCATTTCCTATTTTACGAGGAAATAACCAGATGGTAAACCAGAACATCACCAGAACTTAATCATCTGTTCATTATGCCATGATCAACATCTCCTGAAAATGTGATAAAAATTAGTTCAGAACTTTTCCAGTTATCTCACTAACAAACAAACAAACAAACAGACAAACAAACAAACAAACAAATTCTACAACACAACCTCCTTGATGGAGGTAATAAAACGCGTCAGTCTGACTTCATGGATGAAACTTCAGCTCCTAAACAAAACCAGTCAGAACCACAGACTGCTCATGAAACACCGTCAGGAGGGTGCCTCAACCAATCAGCAGGTCTTCTTCTTCTTCGCTGCTTTCTTCTTCGTGGACATCATGTTGGCTGCCTTACACAGTTGCAGCGCCTCCTACAGTAAGCTGGTGGAACTACTCAGACAACCACACGTCCCAAATCATTGTTTTAATTGTGTTATTCTATATACAGCGGGCTGGACCTCGGTGTCCTCAGAGGGAGCTAGGGCCATGGCTGGAGCTCAGTCTGGGACAGATGGACTCCACCCTGACCTGGACCAGCTGCACCCAGGACAGGCTCCGGTCTGCTTCTCTGGGGAAGATCCACGCTGCAGAAGAACCAGGACCCACTGAACCTGTACTGAAAACACCGAGTGTTCGTGAGCAGCACAAAGCTCTGAAACAGTCACATCAGACTGGCAGAAGAGGACTTATCAGGTCTGAACTAACTGCTCATCAGAGCAAACAGAACCAAGATATTCTGATTTTAAACATTTAACTCCTCAGTCAGATAGTTGAGGTGATATTATTATCAAACCTAAAATAAAAGAACCTTCACTCACTCTTGGACCCGACTATGTATCAATCAAGCATCCCCTTTGTTCTGGTTGGGGAACAAAGACAGGAGGATTTGTTTAAACTACAAACTGCCTTTTGTTTGGACCTGTCAGTGGATGCACGGTGACCTGAAGCTGCAAATATGTGTGATGTGTTAGTACGAAAGCTTCAGCATCACATGGAGAGGTCAGCTGCAGAAACACATAAGTCCATGTCCAAGACTTTCAGACTCATCTTGAGATAATATCAGTCAAAGAGCTGGAACGCTGGAGCACATCCTTAGCTGCTGCCCTAGGGCTTTGGGAGAGGGGCGTTACCGCTGGCGCCATGACCAAGTGCTGCGGGTCATTGCAGAAGCCATCAGCATGGGGATCTCAACCAGCAAAGACCACCAACCAACAAGGCAGACCATCGCCTTTGTTAGGGCTGGGGAG